GCATAAAGTATGGAGAAGTTGAATCACAATGCTGTACACCCGAAACTAATGTAACATTGTGTCTCAAATATATTCAAATAAGGGGTGCCTGGGTGGCTCGGTTGGTTAAGCATCTGTCTTTGGCTCAGGTCATGATCCCAGGGTCCTGGGATCAAGGCCCACATCGGGCGCTCTGCTCAGCAGGGAGCCTGCTTCTCCTGCCCCTCTGTCTGCCCCTCTGCCTACTTGTGCTCTATCAAACATATATATATATATATATATATATATATGTATTCAAAAAAAATTAAAAGACCTGATATTAAAGCCCCATATTACATGCATTTTCACATCTGAGGAAAGCCAAGAGAGTCTCAAAGGATGGCCAACCACAAGTTCCCCTTCTCATCCTGTTCCTGCAGATAAAATACCATATTCAAATAACTTATCTCAGGGACAAAGCACAGTGCCTGCTTATCCCTGAATAGAGGGCTTCAGTTCAAACAGACAATCACATCTCCTGTGGGAAATGGGGGTTTCACCACTCTCAGGGATTACACTACAGCCTCTGCTTGTGCACTCTGTTCCCAAATGGAATCTCCATGTGTCCCTGTGGAGCATACGGTGTTCTCCTTCTTCCAGGCTATGAGTATACCTGACTAATACACTACTGTTGATTTTATCTGTCTGGTGTTGGGAGGTCTTGGTTGGCTATCTCCATAACTCTAGGGGAGGAATCCCTTCTTCACCAATGGAAAAAAGTGGAGGTGATCAAAACACAAAGCTAGGACTTTCCCATAATATATAAATTGCAAATATAAAGCAAGATCTATGTACAAGGTTGTCCATTTAAGCATTGTTTGTAATAGCAATGACCTGAAAACCACCTAAAGTTTCATCATTAGATAATTCTAAGTCATAGGGTGTCTATTGTATATATATATACCACATCTTCTTTATCCATTCATCTATCAATGGACACTAGGGTTGCTTCCATAATTTGACGATTGTAAATAATGTTGCAATAAAAATAGGGATGCATATATCTTTTTGGATTAGTGTTTCTGCATTCTTTGGGTAAATATCCAGTAGTAGAATTAGTGGATCATATGGTAATTCTATTTTTAATTTATTTAAAAGCCTCCATATTGTTTTCCATATTGGCTGCAAGAGTTTGCATTCCCACCAACAGTGCATGAGTGTTCCTTTTTCTCCACATCCTTAACACTTGTTGTTTTTTGTGTTTTTTATTTTAGCCATTTTGACAGGTGTGAGGTGATATCTCATTGTGGTTTTTTTAAGATTTATTTATTTTAGAGAGAGCAGGGGGAGGGGCAGAGGGAGAGGGAGAGAAGCAGACTGCCTGCTGAGTGGGGAGCCTGACACAGGGCTTGATCCCACAAACCTGAGACCATGACCTGAGCCAAAATCAAGAGTGGGGGGCTTATTTTTAATTTGGGGGGGAACCTCCATACTGTTTTCCAGAGTGGGTGTACCAGCTTGCCTTCCCACCAACAGCATAAGAGGGTTCCCCTTTCTCCCCATCCTTGACAACACCTGTTGTTTCTTGTGTTGTTAATTTTAGCCATTCTGACAGGTATGAGGTGATATCTATTGTAGTTTTGATTTGCATTTCCCTGATGATGAATGATATTGAGTATTTTCATGTCTGTTAGCCATCTGTATGTCTTTGGAGAAAAGTCTTTTCATGTCCTCTGCCCATTTTTTTAGTGGATTATTTGGGATTTTTTGGTGTTGAGCTGTGTAAATTCTTTATATATTCTGGATACTAACCCTTTATTGGATATGTCATTTGCGAATATCTTTTCCCATTCACTAGGTTGTCTTTTAGTTTTCTTGCTTGTTTCTTTTGCTGTCCAAAAGCTTTTCATTTTGTTGTATTCCGTGGAGCACAATTTAGCAGTTCAAAAGATTGAAGTAGTATATCTGTATGTGATGGTATAGAAATATCTCCAAGATAAATTTAAGTAAGAAAAATTAAGTTTATAGTATCATCCCTTTTTTTGTAAGTGTATACACATTTTTATTTTGGAAAGTTACTCTGGAAATTACTGACAGTAGTTGCCTTTGGTGTTTAGGAATTTGTAAATAAGGGAGAGAGACTGTAGCTCATTTTATACCTTTCTGATAGTTTGACTATTTTTTTATCAAGTGCCTTATTAATTCACTTTTACAATGAAAATAAAAGTAAAAAGGTATAATCTCTGCTATTAATGAGCCCATTGTCAAGTGGAAAGATAAACAGAATTTCACAAAAGACTTTTGAATCTCAGCAGTACAAGCTAGTGTCTGGACTGATGATTGAAATAAGACCAAATAGTGCACAGCATATGGAACACTGGAGTAAGCTGAGGGAAGTGTCACTTGGATTAGAAATTTTTAATGTTTCTCATTTCAAAGGGGTTGCTTCTGAGTACAAATACATAGTTTAGTTCTACATTTAACTACAATACAAACTTAAAACAGGAAACCGTGCTCTTTAACATCACAGTTTTGTCATCTAATTCTACTTTTGAAAGAAAAGCCAATAACTAAATTCCTAGTCTAAACTAGACTAGAAATGTTATCGAAGCTGGTATAGAGGCCAGAAGGTTTCTGTTTATTGTGTTACAATATAATCCACATAAAATCAACACAATTATATGGTCACTAGGGCCAAGCCTGAGCTTTCACCAAGATTGTCAAGGAATGTAACTGGAATGTTACTCTTTTCACAAAATCAACAAGAGAATTGCTTAATATGTCTATCTCACTGAGACAGTCGTTTAGGTTGTAGGTTTCTTTGTAAAGTGAAAGTGGCCTTAGAGCCCAGTTGAAAAACAAAACTGATTTTAACTTTAGGGCAGAATGTACCTTATCCTTTGTGTCCACCTTTTTATCCTTCTCTAAATCAATATTTACAGTTTTAATGCTAAATTATTTTTGTTACCTTATTTATTTTCTTGGCTAAAATATGCTCTTAAGAACTTTAAAAACAACTGCTCTTCCCCCATAAGCTTCTACTTAATAGGCACTGTCATACAACGTTCTTTCAACATTGCTAATGTTGAGACCCCAGCACATTTCTAACAAATCAAGTCAGGTTTTATTTAGTTCAGTTTAAGAGATGAATCAGCTTTGGGTGTCCTCTAAATGAATTACAAATTAAATGACTGAGTGTGTTCAATGTTCTGTTCATTATTCCTTCCACTCTGACAATAATATAGGCTGGCTTGCACTGGAGAATTTGTTGCAATGGAAATATATGAGAATACTTATGCTGGCTGTTACGGTGAATTATTGGAATCAACATAGAAACTGACGACCATTTATTTTGCTTTCTGTTTTATTTTGAGAATTTTAGCTACAAAACTATTGTACAATCAATATAGAATGAGAACCTAATGAGATTTTTATGTAAAAAACTTGAGGGCACCTGGGTGGCTCAGTTGGTTAAGCATCTGCCTTTGGCTCAGATCATGATCCCAGAGTTCCTGGATCAAGTTCCACAATGGGCTCCCTGCTAAGCGGGGAGTCTGCTTCTCCCTCTGCCCCTCACCCCACTCTCATACTCTTTCACTCTCTCTCTCAAATAAATAAATAAAATCTTTAAATAAATAAAATAAATTGAGGCTTAGTCCACTTGATGAAAAAAAACTTGGATGGCATGTTTTGATTCATTTATTAGGAACATGTAATTCAGTACTAGTACTTATTTTTTTTAAAGATTTATTTATTTATTTATTTATTTGACAGTGAGAGACACAGCGAGAGAGGGAACACAAGCAGGGGGAGTGGGAGAGGGAGAAGCAGGCTTCCCGCAGAGCAGGGAGCCCGATGCAGGCTCGATCCCAGGATCCTGGGATCATGACCTAAGCCGAAGGCAGATGCTGAACCAACTGAGCCACCCAGGCACCCCAGGATATATATTTTTGATTAAAATTTATTTTCAGATTTTTTCACTATCCTTTGTGATAATTGGAGACATAGGGATGAAGCTACTAGAAAAAATCAGATTTCTGTTTCTAGCTCTGCCATGGACATTTTGTGCCCTGTTGAATGAGTCCCCTGACCTTGCTTTTCTGACTACCTATTGGCAAAATGGAAGTCATTATTCTATCATGCTTCTAATTTACTTCCTAGGGGTGCCTCCAGGATTCATTGAATTAAAACAATATATAATGACCATAGTTTATTGGACTAAAAAATCTAAATACAAAAAGTATAGGGTTATTTTGAAACTTTCTAAAGCCATAAATGTGATTTTTAAGGCTACATTATCTTCTTACATTTTTTATTTACACTTTTAAATATAACATTAGTACAAGACATATGTATGGCAAATCTAGATTAACTTATCTAAAAACAACACAGTGTTGTGATCCTGTTATTTTAAAAATGTATGTAGTGTGAATGCGAATATGTGTATCATAGAAAAAAACTTGAAAAAATACACATTATAATGTTAACAAGTGCTATTTCCAGAATTGTGGGTGATTTAAATTCCTTTTTTTAATTTATCTGTATTTTCCACAATGGTAATGTATTATTTAAGTGATTACAACCATTTAAAATCAATACTGCTTAATTTCTAACAGTTAAAAATTTTTTTACTCATTTTATTCTACCATGCTTTCATGTTATGGAAATAAATATCATGGACAGGTCCATTTCAAAATGGGGGATTACATATTAAGAACTGTGAAATCAGGGGTGCCTGGGTGTCACAGTCAGTTAAGCCTCCAGTTCTTGGTTTTGGCTCAGGTTGTGATCTTACGGGCGTGAGATTGAGTCCAGCATCAGGCTCCATGTTGAGCATGGAGCCTGCTTAAGATTCTTTCTCATTCTCTCTTTACCCCTCCCCCCACTCTCTCTCTCAAATAAATTAATTAATGAAAAAAACTGTGAAATTAATTTAGCTATTGTTATGTGTTGAAAGTAACCTAGCAAATATTACCCAGATGGTCCTTTCTATAATATTCTTTCCTTTGATTATTCTAATTATTTTAAATCTGTTTTAACAGCTACAAGATCGCACTCAGTTCAGTGACCGAGACTTAGCCACCCTTAAGAGATACTGGGACAATGGAATGACGAGCCTCGGTTCTGTCTGTAGAGAGAAAATTGAAGCAGTTGCAACTGAATTAAATGTTGACTGTGAAATAGTTCGGGTAAGACATTTTCAATAATTTTCAGGCTGTTGTTAAAGATTGTCATAAATTAAAGCTTTAAAAAATTTCATGAGGTCCTGTAAACAAGAACATCAATAAAGTGAAAAAGATAATCCACAGAATGGGAGGAAATATGTTCAAATCACATATCTGATAAGGAACTTGTATTCAGAGTATATAAACAATTCTTACATCTTAATAATAAAAAGGCAAATAATGAAATGAAAATGGGCAAAGAGTTTGAATACACATTTATCCAAGGGAGGTATACAGATGGTCAATAAATACACAAAAATGTTCATCATTTGTAATTATGGAAATCAAAACCACAATGAGATACCACTTAGTAGCCAATATGATGTCTATAATAAAAAAGACAGATGATAACAAGTGTTGACCAGGATGTGGATAAATTGGAACCATTATACACTTTTGATGGAAATGTAAAATGTTTTAACCACGTTGGAAAACAGTCCTCAAAATTTTTAACATAGGGTTATCATAGGACCCAGCAATTCCACTCCTAGGTATATACCCAAGAGAAGTAGAAACATACGTTCATACAAAAACGGATACACAAATGTTCATAGCAGCATTATT